ATTTTTGTAACGTGGCAATATGCTGAGTGGCAGCTTTTTCCTTCATCACTTCCACAGTTTTTCTTAATAAGTTAGGACTGTAACCACTGCCAATTTTATCTATAACAAAAGTAATGTCACATAAATCAATCTTTATTTGTATTTATTGACAACATCAAGTAATAAAACACAGCTTTAGTGGTTTGCTGTGGAAATTAAAACATTTTTGTCACTGTATACAGAAAACCAAACAAAATGCAGTCCTTTGCTCAAATTACTGCAGCAGTTCAGTACCGCAGCTGTACATGTGTTGAGTTTGTCGAGTATGCCTTTGTGCTTGTCCTTTTCTTTCCATCAAGTTTGCCAATACGAACATACACACACTTGATTTAAGATGGTGTGTGCTCAGTCTTCTAGCAGTATGTCCAGTTCTTCTAAAGGCAGTCGCACACTCACTTCTTTCTCTGTCAACAGGTCTACAAACCCCTCAGCTGATCGGGGAACAGCTGAATTGTATGTACCAGTATACATACATACTGATTTAGTTTGCAGAAGCGGTAACTACAGCAGGGTGATAAGTGTAATTGGTCAATTTGGTAAATATGTGCTGAGCAAGGCAGGATATTGATCAAGTGGCACCATCTTTATTTTTTATTTATTTTATTTAACCAGGAAGATTCCAATGAGATTAAAAACCTATTTTTCAAGGGAGACATTTAATGAAATCATCTAACAAATAGTGTCGCCTACTGTGTGATTATTTGTTCTAATGTACCATCAAAGAAGTGTGTTTCAGTAAAAGTTTAAACCCTGTCTCATCCATAGTCTGTTCATCTTTTATATACAGGTTATCTTTTTACTGAATTGTAACCAAAAAAAAGATAAGGAGGAGTGGCTATCAGCTACTGATTCTTGTTATGCTCCTGTTTTCTCTTCACCTCTCTCAGTTGTCTGTCTCTAAGCTTAGTCCTTTCACAGGTTTCTTCCTCTCAACAGTTGCCAAGTGCTACTCACTAGGGATCCTCTCTAACACTGTTGAGATTTATACATATATACATTCAATGGTTGCACCCTTAACGGTTACTGGTATATGTAACATGACCACTTCTGTTTTCTTAAAAGTAAAATCATAGTCTTCAAAACACTAATGTTAAGGTTTCAAAGCCATTTCCTCTTTTTTACAAATCTGAGCACCCCTGTATAAAGTCAGTTGGTTGGTAAAACGAGCTGTTGTTCGTTATTAATTAGCTCAGTTTCTCTCGTATAACCGCACCTAATGAGTCTGCAGGGACTATAACTATAAATCGAGTTTTGGGAAATATCACTTTCACAGTATGTGTGTGCCTCACCAGGGGACCAGGGGATATTCTGTAAGGCCTTGTAGAAGATTACTGTGGCTTTATCCACTTTTCCTTCAGACACCTACAAATTCAAACTTACACACTTTACATACCGTATACAATGTAATCACTGTGATATTTGTGTATCCACAGCCACAGAAGCTGTTCTACACTTCTGTCTCCATGTTCAATATTTGTAAACTGCGGACAATTCAGTCGTTATTCCTGAAATGCACATATTAATATTCTCCTTCTTCTTTTTTAATGATACTGACGCTTTTAGAGGCATCATTTCTTTTTCTTATTTAAGCAAGATCAGGTCTCTACTTTCTTCCTAACAGGTTTAGTGCTCCAGAGCAGAAAACACCATCAACGTGAGTTTGTATGACCGGTCTCAACTAGAAGGTGTACATCCTCCAAAGTAAAGAGCAAAGAGCCCCGGTTTCTGTTGCTATGGCATTTTCAAAAAGTCCACGGATGCGGTTACTGAAGCCATTCTCTGGCCGGACAGATAAGGGATCATCATGGAAATGTGATCTATAAATATTGCAGACATGTACAGTAAGTGCTAAGTATCATTTGATAATGTGCAACCCTGTTTCTATGAAAGCTGTATTAAGTAAAACTAAAAGCAAGACTGCAAATCACTTAAATCTGCATTTAAACAACATTAAACACTGGGACTTTTTGAGATGCTCATCTTTCATCATGCTACTAAATCTTATTTGTGTTGTGATGTTCCATCAGATGTATTTATTTAATGCTTTTGAGCATTAAACAACTTTTCCAATTTTTGTTGTCCCTCACTGGACTTTTCTGAAATGTAGTTTTTTGTAAATACTTTCGAAATCATCACCTTCTGTTTTTATTTGTAGTTTTTTGGGGAAACAAGGATGTAAATTATGTGAATTTTGATGTGATCCTGCTATCTGATGCTTGTGATTATCGTCTGTTACCTTACCTCTGAGCTGCATCTACCAGCTGCTTCCTTTGCTGTTCAGCAACTATGGCAAAGAGGCACGGCACCAACTGCTGCAGTCTCTGGTTACAGAGTGAAAAAAAACGGCGAGCCCAGCGAGCAGTATGGTAACGGTACTCCACCTGAAGCACACATCACATGGAGGTCAGTCAGACCAAAATAAACAAATAAGCTTAGGGCTCAAAAAGCTTTGAGAAACACATCTAGAGAAGAATGGGGAAAAGGAGCTTTTATTAGCCTGGCCTGTACATAAATGCTTCAAAGAAGGGCGCTGGTGGTCCAGACTGAGAGGGCCGATGGCAGTACTAACACCTCACACTGTGCCAATGAGACAGGAGAGATTGTTAATGAAAAGGTGGGCATGTTTCTTGAATTTTTACCTCTTAAACTATATTTACTTGCGAATCTGAATTAGAGAGACTTTATTAATCCCAGAGGAAAACTGAGTTAACTACAGCACATTCAGGTCCAATAAAACCTAATGTTTGTTTTTTACGTTTCTCTGTCAGGCTAAAACCCATGTGTTTGACATTGAGCGAACCTGCAGGAATAAGGTGCTGGGTCTTCCTCTGTCAATTGAGGGGCACGTCCATTACGTCATACAAGAAGCCATGGATGATAAACTACTGTGTCATGTGTATTTAGGATGGGATCCTTACTTGTAGAAAGAAAAGGCACTCAATTCAGAAGATTATAATGCAATCCAAGCCCTTTTGAATGGAGCCTTTTTCTGTTTCGAGTTATCTAGAAAAACATTGAAAAACGCAGCACTGTTGCACATTCCCTTGTAATAAAGCCATTTAGTTGGTAAACGTGCCGTAGTGTGTATCTTCTAATCTCTTAACCCTCCTTAGACTCACAGAGCTAGACAGGCTTGTCAGCTGATTGTTTTAATCCCGTCTCCCGCTGCTTCTTCACTCCTGATTACAGCCAACTGGTTCAACTTTTTACATAAAAAGAAATCGCCACTAAGAAATGTCTGCTTAAAAGGCTGGGTGAAGGCGTGAGTATAGCAGTAGTTTCCTTTTCAGCTAGCAATATTTTTCTTATCTAGTAATGAGTTCAGGCAGTCAGAAAATCACTGTATTTGTAATTATTACTTTTCTTCTTTTTGTTAATGCTTGGCTGTTGTTTCAGCTGGCTTTGGGATAGAAACCTTTAATCTATTTTTAGATCAGGATGAGCTTGGTTGTATTTATTTATTTACATATTTATAGTGGGAAAGCAAGATAAATACATAGGAATATGCTTTTATTTTGAATGATCTGAACCGGAAGTGTGGATAAAGGCGCTCTCTTATCACGTAAATCTTTTCTTTTTTTTAATATACTAATAATTTTACTGAATTTTCGACACCTATAAATGTCCAGTTTAATTTATGTAAAAGCTTAATATTATTTAAACCTGTCGGTATTCAAAATAATCCGAAATTTAAAATTTATCGTTGTAGTGAAGCTTTGAAAAAAATCAAAAACGCTAGCTAATATTTAATATCACTGTGAATCTGTTGCTGTTGTCAAAGCCGACCGTTTTGGATAGCCGATGCGATGCTGTTATTTTCCACGGTTCTGAAACACATGTTAAAGACATCCAACTCGACAGAAGACGCGCTCAGGATGCGGAGGAGGCTAAACGGTCAACATACGCAGGTGCCTGCACTTGCTTCGTCCTCTTGGGCTCGGCTGCTCGGTGTTAACGGACCGTAATCTTGCCAGCAGAAAGTGGGGCGGTTAGCCGGGAGGCTATGGCGAGGTCTTCCTCTTGTTGTTGGTTAGCTGTCTTTTCATAGCGTGGTTACCCCGGTCCTGCTTGGCCGCTGATTGTCAGTTGGTCCGCCGGAGACGACGCGACCTTGGGGACGCTGTCATGGATTTGACTCGGTTGGCCGTGGATGCTGGTCAGTTCATCAACCGCGCTGTTCAGGTAATAATAATAATAATAATAATAATAATAATAATAATAATAATAATAATAATAATAATAATAATAATAAAGGAAACTATTATGTGTTTTTCCTGGGCTTTAATCTCAACCCTAAATCAGCGACTGCCCTTACTAAAAGAAAAGTGCGCAGTTAAGCAGTTTGTTAATCAATGTTACCCTGAAATTCGCTCCAGTACACTGGAGAGAGTCTAGGACAGGCCGAGAGGACTGAGTTGGATCCCGGACTGGAGGAGCTTTTATCACGGGCGGACGCCACCAAGACGTGGACGGACCAGATAATCTCCCAGACTGAGGCTTTACTGCAGCCAAGCCTCGGTAGGAGAACATGAATTGATTTAATGAAGCTGCCCTGATTCATTGAGCAGTTACAGATGTATACATACCCACTTCACTAACAGTTGGTCCTGTTTTTGCCACAATTAGCCCTTTTTTTATGATCCTGAACTCTAACCTGTTCACTGTATCCAAATATATAAAAGGTGAGAAAAAAGATCTGAGCATTTACTCTTTTAAAGTAAAACATCATCTCATTAAGAGTAATGGAGATGGTTTCCCTCTTCCGAGGAAGGTATTCTATGGAGTATTTTTAAAGACATTTACAATGAAGATGAGAAACATTTAGATGAACTGTAAATATTTATGAAGAAAATGCATCTGGGATGATATCAAGCAATTTCCAGCTGCCAACATACAGATAAAAGCAGAGTCATCAAATCCCATCAACTTACTGTTGTGGTCCTGAGTTAGCTGAGAGTCTTTACCTCTGGGACCAATCGTTTCAGCTCTCTTTGCCCTCCCACAGTACATGCATACATCTTCCTTGATGTCTCTTGTTTACTTTGGTAGCAATTGGCCTGTTCGGATGAATAGAGATGCTTATTCTTTAGCCTGTTTGAATCCAATTACGTTTTCTAATGGAGTTATGAGTGGATGTGGTCTGCAATCTATCAAATAAAAGGTACATTCAGCTACCAGATGCATCCAGGATATATTTTCAGGTCATGTCTCGCTGAATTTATCTTCCAAGGGTTTATAGTCTTCTTGTAAAATCATTTTCACAATGATATTTATTATATGAAACAATATTTTAGGACCTTCTCCTTGTGGAAGAAACTATGAAACCAATGCATTACAGTTTAAATCACAGGGATGAACTATGTTTTGAGAGGTGTTGTGTGTGTATTGTTTATTACCATTTTTAATTAATTGTATTGTCACAGGTGCATCCTTTAACAAATGTACATTATAAAAATTGTCACATGGTGTATAGAAAATGTAGCCACTGAATTTTGATATGACCTTTGACCTCTGATACACAGGAGTGCGGTTAGAGGACCGGCTGTATCAGCATCTGGAGTGGAGCGTCCCACCCCGGCCTCGTGCCGTTGAGTTACTGGGAGATCAGATGACTCAGGCCGGGCTGGAGATTGGATCAAACACACCTTATGGTGAGTACACACTCACCAGCCATTTTATTAGGTACATGCAGTTTGCCAGTACAGGGTTGGTTACCAAGCAGTTGAGCAGGAATACCTAATAAAGTGGCTAATGAGTACGTGCATTTTATTGATCTGCGAGAAGGATCTCAACTATTTTCACATGTTCATTTCTTTGCTTATTCTTGTCTTTTTTGTGTTATGAGTATATATTGAAAAGTTGTCACTGTGTTGTATTTTTATGTTTCTCTGCTCAGGTACTGGATTGATAAGGTGTGGAGAGGCTCAGAAGCAGCTCGGCGAGGCAGAGAGGAAGTTTGTCCAAAGCACTAACATTCACTTTCTCACTCCCCTGCGGAGTTTCACTGAGGGGGAATACAAAGCCATACAGGTAAACACATGCCTCTGTATCACATGCACACAAACTCGCACCTTTATTGTGATTATCACAGCAGTGATTAGGTTATTTTACGCTGTCACCCAAAATAATATTTAGTTTATAGGTTATTTGTAAAGTAAACAAGATTGCTTGTTCCTAGAATGAACGCAAGATGTTGGTGAATAAACGTTTGGACTTGGATATCACTAAGGCCAGGCTGAGAAAAGCCCACGAGGCTGAGCAAGAGGCCAGAGTGAGTTACACCTTTACATTATTACATACTTTTCAGTTAGTCATACTCTGACTAAAAGCTAAACTTGTTGATATTTGACGTTACAGTTCTTGTATCTTCTGTCTTTTTGTCAGAACCTGAATGCCAACCCACTGGAAGAGGACTACTTGTCTCATGTCTCCTACATGTTCAGCTTCCTGCGTGTTAAATGGCTAAAGGTCAGCAGTTCTGTGTAGGAACGTGCATATTAACAGACGCAGATGAAATTGTTGTTCGATCTTCAAATAAGGCATTTGTCTTCTTATGTCTCTTTCATGCAAACAGATCTGGGCTCAGGAAATCTCACAGGTGAGTTCCTTATCAGTTTAAAGAACACAGGATCTGAAATGGTCTTCATACAGTATATCAGTGAGGCTCTCAGCAGTAATTGATATGAATATGGAGCTGCTGTTAGCACAGACAATATTTCCTTTCTGTAGTTTTCTGTTTGTTTAGACTTGAGCTCATTTTAAATGTTGTATTTTTTCGGCAGCCATTTTTAGAAAAATAAGAGAAAAACCATACAGATGTGTGTGTGGGGGTGTGTGTTTGTGTGTGTGTGTGGGTTTGTATGTGTAGGCAGAGATGGAGTTGAGGATTTGTCAGAGTCTTTACAATCGACAGTCAGAAATCACAAGAGCTGTTGTGGAAGGACTCAGCAACACACATGTACGTACACTTAACGAGTTCAAATTTGTGTTTGTTTGTTTTTTTACTATCTGTTTCTTAAAGGAACTGTTGCTTTTTATATTTAATGCTTGTGGCTCTTTACCTTGTTGGATATGTTTTCCTGCTATCTACCTCTACAGACCAACCATATGCGGAGCCTCACTGACTTTGTGGATGCTCAGGCTAGCTACTATGCTCAATGCAACCAACATGCTCAGGAGCTGCAAAAACAGCTGGCCAGGTCTGTGTAGTCTCATTTCCATCTTCAAAAGAGGAAGAAGAATAGCTTCATTTGTATAGCACTTTTTAACACACAGTTCCAAAGTACTTCACAGTTCGAATTAAACCATACATGTACATGTTTCAGCATACAGACACACAGTCAGGCATACAGTCTTATGCCCGACTGGCCAAAAATAATGGGAGAAAGCTTAAGAAAAAGCAGTTTTTTAAAACAAATGACTCTTTTGCCTGACCTGACAGGGCGAGGAAGACTGTTCCAAAATTTAGGCTCTCCAACATCAGAAGTGTGGTCCCCTCTGGATTTAAAATAAGAGCAAGGAGCAGTTAAGATACATTGATAAGATGATTAGAGAGGCCAACTAAGGTTATAAGCTCTTGGTAGCTGAGCTGTATATACAGGAGCCTGGCCACGTAGGGCTCTGTATGTTATTTATTTCACTAGAAGCCAGTGAAGGAAAGCAGAAAGGTTGCATAAAAGGTTTCAAGATTTCATTTTTGCAGTGTTTCCTAGAAGAAAGATTGGATGAGCCTTCTGGTGTGAGATTAAATTTCTGTTTTTATTATATTTATACCTTGAGCTGTTTAGGTTTGTAATTTTTCATACACAGCACAATGAATCTCCAAATCATGGCTGTCTAAGAAAAGATTATATAACTTCAGTACAAAGTAGAAAATATTCAGGACATTTGGTCTTCTAAAGAAACCAGGACTACAAAGAATACTTTATGATTTGAACATGAGTGGATTATATTTATGGTTTTATTTCTCTGCAGCATTCCAGCTGTCTTCTGTTCCAATAACTGGCAGTCTGCAATTAGTAATCCCGTTAGTCAGCCATCAACAAGCAACCACGAGGCGAATGAACCCATCAGTGCAAATCACGTCACTCCGTTACCTGTGCTCGTCCACCAGCTTCCAGATTTCGACCAGGACTCGTGGACTTTAAACTCACCACCCCAAACTGTGAAAACCACAGCAGATTCATCTTTCAGTGCACTTCTGACTCACCAGACAAATAACAACAATAACAACATCATCATCTCCACCACCAGACAAACACCCAGCAACCATGCACCAATCTACAGCCAGTCAACAACTGTTCGAGCGATTGATCGTGTCTCTACACCAAACCAAACGGATCAGCTCCAAGCACCCGGCAGGACGGCCAGGATGTCTGATGCTTCTCCTGCTTCTATCCAGGTACTAACATTCAATACAACAGCTTCAATAAGCAATGGTGCAGCAACAGCAGCCTCCCCGCCTTTACAACCCAGTGCAACCTGTAGCATCAATGAAGGAGATGTCCAGGAGTCTTCGTCAGGCCATCAGGATGTGGGCCAGTAGAGACGGCAGGTTGGGAACATGGCATCAGCCCAGAGTATTTCAGCTTTGACTTTAGGAATATACACAGTGATTATATCATGTTCCAGTTTAATTAATCCCTTAGGGATTATAATGTGAAGTTGTTGAAGTTGCTTATTTTTTAAAAGCGTAATATAGTGCCACAATCATTTTAGACTTGAGCTTTATCCATGTATTATTCATGCTGTGTGAACATGATGATGGTAGATGTAAAGTCTGTTCTGTGTGTAACATTTCTTGGTTTCAGGCTGGAAGACGAAGCTAACAGACTGTTATCATTTTGCAGTGTAAAGTTGTTTTCAGTTAGTGTCTGTGAAACTGATCTTTTTTTCTTTCTTTTTTTTACGTTCTGGTCAGTGAGAACTAATCAAGCTCTGTGCCAAGTGTATGTGTTGGTGTGAATACATGAATTTTACTGTGTCTCAGTGACCGTGTGAACTTGTGGTAATACTTTGGCCCAAACATGTGACACCTTTAGAAAGAAGTGTATGTGCATATATGTGACTGCCACCTCCTGACTCTTGTTTGTTAAACATGAGGTCATTTTCCATACGAAACACAGTTTCACGTCTGTCTGAGCGCATTTGCATTGGGGAACCCAGAGGTGACTGGACCTTTGTGCTTCTTCATACGTGCGCTGGGTGTTTTCCCACGCATACACTCATTTTTCACCCTTTACCTTCTTAAAGCCCCCATTTGGTCAAATGGGTGGAAATTTCCACGTCCAGATGTTGTTAATTTTCTTCATGAGGGCAGACCTGCCTAACGTGGGTCTACTCTGGAGGGACTCTGGATGGAAACAAATATTAATGTAGCACTGGCTGTACTGAAATAATTGCCTACAAGCTCAATGCTTTTGTCCCAGTATGTAAAGATGTGTGTGGGTTTGTGTAGTCTTCATATCAGAGCTGCTGCCAGTTTCAAACTACACGCACGCAGTCATGATTCAGCCACGAGTCGTTGAGCTGACGTCAGTGCGGGTTTGAGTTTGCGCTTGATTCATGTGAAGATGTGGAAATAAATATGCAAACAGTGATGTCATGCCGGTCTAAATCAAGTGTGGCGTCTATCTTTGTTCTCCAGTCAAGGTGTTTCTGTAATTTCCTTGTTAAAACCACAGTTCATATAGTTCACTTTCCCATCATACCAGTCATCTGTCTTAGGTTTACACGCAGTGACAATTATTTTCAGACTGAGGTCTTGATCAAGCCTCCAAAAAATTCTGTTTGTTTCACTGTTTCTGACTCACTGCCAAACTTGCAGTTAAGCTGGATTCGCTTCACTTTTTCGTTTTTACACAAGAGTGAGATCTCCTTTTGTTTTACATGAATCTCAGCCTTTCAACACATGCACACAAGCTGTAATAGTTACCCAGAATTGCTGACAAAAGTGTGCATATGTGTGTCTGTTTTTCACTCCCACTTAACCTTTTTCCTGTCTAGAGCTGTCCAAATAGATTAGATCGATTAAGAGCAGTTGGTGTGATACTGATCAAAGCAGAGCCTGTGGTTCATTAACACTATAAACAGTTATATCTTACCTCTTTACAGGGGCTGAGGTGCAGCCATCGCTGAATGCAGATTCAGTTCTTGCTATTTTTTCCCCTACAACTCAGCAAGGAAAAATAAATCTGTCCCTAAATGTTCATGAGCGTTCTTCCTCTGCACCGACAAAACAAGTCCCTGTCACAATTCCAGCATATTTTTATATTTCCGGTTCGCACTTTGTCCTTGAGCAGATCTCTCATAAGTCTTGGTATGAATCTTTTGTTTGATACAGGAAGGAAAGGGACGCTTTGTTCATGATGAGTGAGTTGGGAAAATGGATAAAGGAAATTTTGATTTATTTTTTTTTTAGCTTATTTGGTTTCTTCTGATGCACTACCTGAGGGGCACATGTTACAGATGGGTGCAAACCCTCATAGTTTAGTCTGTAAAGGCCTCATGCTAATGCATTGTTATTCAAAAATATAATTGAAATTCACTAAAGATAAAGGCCAGATTTTCCTACCCATGCCTAATAAAATAACAATAAAAAGAAAACAATCTGCATAATACATTTATTATCTTGTTATTTCTATCACATGATTTGTCTTCCCTTAAAAATATAAATGTCCCCAGTGTCTGTAAGAGCCCTCCTTATCTACATTCACCACGAGTTTGATTGCGAGACCAAGCAGAGAAAAATAATGAAGGTGGACTGATGTTTATTAGAAGATGTACTGATATTCAAAGCATCATGTCATCTGTGCAGTAAGAAAATCTAAGTGGACTGAGCTCATAACCTGGAACTACTCACCCAAGTACAGTAAGGTGCTCTAATTACTTTGATATTATTTTTAAACTATCTTAGCTATAAAGAAGATTGTTAGATAACCTATACATTAAAAAAAAACCTTTTAAAACAAATTCTAATGAAACCCCATCTACCTTGTTTTACATTTAGATAACTACACCTTCAGGTGAACTACAAAACATGACATATTGTTCAGCCATTGTTTATCCAAAAAATAAGCCAAAATGCAGAAGCAGTGTGTGGAGAAACTAAGTACAGCCTTACAGCTTACACAGCAATTAAGACCGTAAACAGCAGCCAGGTGCTGTTAATAAAATGCACTTGATTATCGATCATTAGCTGCTCTAGAAACGCAGACGTTTTGGCAGCTTGCATGTCTGAAACATTAAGGTCTGTGTCAACACGGTGCCCTGAGGAAAGACATGAGCAGTGATCTTAGACATTTTTTGGCCATTATTCTGAAGAGTTATTTGAAGTCCATCATTCTATAGTAACAAAGATTATTCACAAGTGGAAAACATTCAACACAATTGCCACCATTCCTTGGAGTCGACCTCAGAGCAAATTCACCCTGAAGCCAGACCATGTAATGCTCAAAGAAAAAAATAAATGAAATAAAGAGTGACATCTCAGACTCTACTGGCCTCGGGTAGCATGTTAAATATTAAAGTTCATGACAGTACAATTAGATAAAGACCGAACAAGGATGGCTGTCAAGAGAAAACCTCTTCTCTTTTTAAAAAGAAGCAGCAGAACATCTGAAGTCTCCAAAGTTGCATCTGAAAAAAGACTTCTGTAACAATGTTCTTTGGACAGACGGGACCAAAGAGGTCATAATGTACAAAAGCGAACACAGCACATACAAATGCTCTATCATGGTAGAGCAGGAAGGAATGCTGAGCGTGCTTTCTTTTTCATTCAATGCTTCTGTATTTTGGCTTAGTAAATATTAACATGGTGTAATATGTCGCATATTTTTGTTCACGCAAGATTGTATTTACCTAATTTTAAAACCTGCTAAGGACCAGATATTTTTTTACTATGTCCTGATATGTAAACCCTTGGATCTAGTTTATTTTTAGCATCACTGTATCCTGTGCGGTGTTTTATTAAATCATGCAATGATGACTAATGCAATCATTTTAAATGATTAGACACTATTATAAGTCTGCTATATGATTTCAAGGACTCTACTGTTTTACGGCATGCTCTATTTTAATAATAGCGCCATATTTGCATGTTTTCCTTCCCTCCCTGTCCCACATATTGGTAACAAAAAGCGTGTACACCCAATAATAACACTCAGTTCTCATAAAATGGTCTGTGTGATTTTGCACTGTTACCATGTGGTTTGCGCAACAGTGAAGTCCTGTTGCTGTTTTACATTGCCTGTTTAATGCAAGCTTAGCTGACAACACCCATTGTCCCATTTTCCCTAACAGCCCTGTTTTGTCAGAACGAGCCGAATCACAGGATCTGTTTTCTTCTAATTTCCCGGCTCTGAAAATTAGAGTCAGGAAAATTAGAGTGAGAAAAGCAAAAAAATGGGGGGAAAATGCTTTAGAAAACTAACTCATCACCATCTTTCTCTCACTCTCCCTTCCTTTCCATCTTTTCCCACATCTCTGTATTTTTTGTCCTCCCTTCATCTCTCATCACCCCCCCCCCCCCCCCCTCCCCCGTTGCCAGCTGGGAGTGTTTTACATGACAGCTAAACTGTCAGTGTGGTACGCATGTTGGGGTGGTAAACAGCATCTGGCAGTTGCTGATTAATGTAACTCCTTTCTGATGACTCATGTGATGGCTTACATGGAAAGATGACCTATAAAGAGGAAAAAAGAAGTGGAAATCCATTAGACGGGATCGAAGAAGGAAGATGAAAATAGCAACACTATCGGTTTCATAAAGCTCAGTTGTTAGTTCTAACATGTAACTCTTCCAGGGAGCTTATTTAGTTCTGTTTTACAGAAATGGGCCAAGGAATTGCATACGCAATAATGACGAAAGACAAACCTGACCTTCTGTACGTTTCCTCGCCCACAACTCAAAGTCTTTCATCTTTTTCTAAATCTTCAATCCATCTTTTCCTGCAGGTTCTCTGTTTTCCTGAAATAAATCTGCCAGCTTCACAGTTGTTGCTCCCACTGCTACAATTATAGCCGCCCAGACAGAGACTATCAGGAATAGAGACCGGCAGACGTGCTGACATGTGCAGTAAAGCGGTCACTCTGGAGGTCTGCAGGGAGAAGAGTCAGGGTTTTTCCTTTGACCTTGACCTGTCCTACTTCTGCTGTTTAGCTACAACACCTGTTGATCAGAGACCTGAACATGCAGCTGGTTTTACTAAGAATGCAATAATGCTATTTCACAAGCACATAATGAAATCCAGACCATTCAGTGTTGCAACTTTTCCACGTTAAGAGGTCTGATGGTTGTGCAAACTGTATATGGGGACTCAGTCTATCCATAAAAAAGGTACGTTTTACTAAAACACACAGAGAAGCAAGTTTCTAGGAATGCCTTCTTCCACTTGCTCAAGGTCCCTGGGGGGGTTAACTCATTTAACTGTGAGGCACTGAAAAAGGTTAGTCTCTGTGGAGCCTTGTTGGCTAAAATGACCTGTTCTACAGCCCAGCTGCTGTTGTAGACATGTTGTATATGCTTATCTGGACAGTTGTTATTGTGAGATTAAAATTTAATACATATGTTTATGTATTCATTGTTAATAGGATGTCCTTATAGGTCCCTGATGAGCTCCAAAATGCTGCAATGTTGAAATACTGACCGATCGCAAAGAGATCATGTTTGTCCAATAGTAGTGTCTCTTCACCAGCTGCCTGAAAATCAAAATAGAATTTGCAATTTGTGGCCTTACATACAAAACTCTTATTGACAAAACTCTGTATTTCAGAGACATCATAGTACATTACCCTGATCTATGAACCTGTTAAAGCACCAAGGGCAATAAGGGAGGCAGAATCCTTTTCAGTGAAATCGGTTTTCAATCTGTGTTCAGAAGATAGCTATTGGAGGTAATTTAAGATTAAAACTTTAGGCTTATCTTAGTTGACCCTGAATTCCCCATTAGGCGTGCTGCTATAGAGGTTCAGGCATCTGGATACCTGCGCTGAGCACCTTCCCTCTGCTCTGCTTTGCATTTATGTCTCACTACTGCACACTTTCATCTCTATGCTTTCTCTCTGATTGTACCTGATATTTACCATGCTGTGTTTACTACATTTAAGCCATTTAAATTTTGCTTTGCTAGTTTAGAAATATTTAAAAATATTATGCATGTAATATTTTTATTTCAATTTATACTTATTTGATTTTATTGTATTTATTTTGACTTCAGATGAGTTTTTCCTTATTAGGTAGTTATTATGTCATATGTACACATATGGCATTCTGCTTCTGCTTAACTTGTTATATTTTTGTTGTAAATATAACAATATGACAGCTGCCTAACTCTGGGAGATATAAAATATATCTTCTGCTGAGGCAGATAATTCACCTCTCTGATTTCTGCTTCATTGTTGTCACTGGGAGTTTGCTCAGTGAGGACCACTGAAGGTCTTTATATAATATGAGCAAAAGTCATGGTGCTACACATATAAAAGTGAATTAAATTAGAAGAGCATACAAATATCTCTTCAAATCAATTTAAATATAGCCGTGATGATGTAATGTCGTTGTTAATGAATAAGAATTTGAAGGCTATGCATTTATCTGGCAATAATTACACTGAACCTGGACATTTATACACTCAGATATTTTATTATACTACTGGTCTGTTATATAGAAAAATATATATCAGTAAGATATCTTCTCTATCTATAGATATATCTTATCTATAGATATCAGTAAAGATATCTTCCATATCAGACTTTGATTAAACAAATAATACGATATAATAATAATATAATAAATAATAAACTGAGTTGGGAGACAAATTTTAAAATGACACAACGTCTGCCAAATGGCGTAATTGGAGTTATGTTAAATGTCAAAGCTACTGCAACAGTGTAAACGTGTCATTACATCAGCAGACTGACTCAGAGTCTAGAGATGGCTTAACTTTAACAAACGCACACAGCCTGTCCATCTCCATCGTGCATGCTTTTTGTCAGCCCCTGTGAATTATGACATATTACCTCCGCTGGAGCATTACTCACTCATTCAACAGAACCAGCTCTGCCCCACCCCTCCCCAGCTTGGTCCCCCCTCCTTCCTTCTCTCAGGGTTTATAACCCAGCAGCTCCAATAGTTGGCTAACTCAGAGGTGCTCTACATATAGTGAAGTAGGTGACTAAGTAAAGACAGAGCAGCTGGAGTGTGCAGGAGCAGGAAAACTTGCTGAGAGAGGATTCTGATGTTTTCAGATATATGCGCTGCAACCCAACAAATCTTAAGAAAAAACATGCATAAGAACTCCATCATGCATGTGTTTTGGATCTGCCTGGTGCTGTGTACGGGTCCATCGTTGTGTATAAATGACATCGAGTATGAAAGAATCTATGAAGACAACTATGACAATGAGATCCCCCTGGAGCAGCAGGAGGGTGAGTTTTATTTCTTTCTCTTTTTTTTCTCTTTTCTGCTCCCTGCTTGTTTGAACAGATAGATATTGTGATGAATTTCTCTTCAGTTTTACTACGCTTTACTAAACCGAGCTAATTAAAATTTTTACTGTTTAATTAAATTTTTAATAACACACTGATTTAGATATGTCTAAAGGTCAGCAGTTGTGTTTATTAAATTTGGTCTAGAGTATTTCTTGGTCCAGTTTATTATAATGCACCATATTTAAATACTTGATGTTGTAAAGTATATTTTTACTCAGATGATACCATCTTTGGCTTTCACAGTTTTATCAGGTGAGCATCAGACTTAATGAAACAGACTTACCAATAACTGGAACACATACCTCATACCGTGAACACAGAGCACAGGCAATAAGCAACCTCTGTGATTTGAGTCCACGTAAAGAATGCAAACTGGTAGCCTCAAATACCTACAGAAGGTGGACATTTCACAGTTTAAGCCCCCTCTGATGTTTGTCAGGTCCGTTTTGCATCGGTTTTCTTCGAGCGTCCAATCTCAAAGACTTCGTTGCTGTACCCCTAAATTAATGAGGTCCCCTGATGTCATTTTGGGATTGTAGCACGTGTATTTTATGTGTTCTTCATGACCTTTACATCTGTGTTGAATAACTCCCCAAAGCCATTTTCATACTTCACAGTGTGTCCAAACTTAAACTGGCATCATATCTGTGAAATACATCCAACTCTAATTACTGCTGTATGTTTAGCAGAAGCTCAGTTTTAACACCTTCTTGCCTTCTTTCCGTGTACTCGTTTCACTGATAAAGTCCAGTCAAATTATGACAATAAAGTAAATCTCCTTTTTTGGGGTTATATATGGCATGTGTTAATTCTATGTAATGCTTAAATTGCCTTTTGGAATGAATAATCGATGCATCTATGTGGTTGTGTGCAGGTGAGTCTCCAACTGCAGCATGCCAAACAGATTTCTCCCGCTGGGATAAACTTTTTATCGCTCTAGAGGACTCCAACATGAGACAAAACATGCTGCTGGAATCTGTGGAGCAGTGCTGCGGGGGAACGGCGTCTCTTAAGACCCAACTGGAGAAGCTGACGATGGGGATGTGTCAGCAGTGTGCACCCAGCTTGGAAGCAGCTTGCAGGGTACATGCAGAGCAGGCAAGTCTTAGGCTGCAAAAGAGTTTGGTGGATCTCAGGGATGAGGAGGAAGAGAGGGAAAGAAGATTAAATGCAACCTTGCGGATGCTCCTACATGGTAGGCACCAGGACGATGCTTGGCTGAAGAGGCTAGAAGAAATCATTTCATCTGCATCTGCTGACAGCAGCATGAGAGACCAGCCAACACCAACACCTGACGGTTTGGGAATGAAGCTCTTCACATCTGGCCTGAAGGAGCAGGAAGTGACCTCGCCGGTGAACATAGTCACCGTGGAAAGTGCTCTGGCTGCTATAGCAACAGAGCTTCAGAGGATTCATAAGCAGCTGAACAAAGTGATAGAGCAGGTAGGCATGCTGGGAAAGGGCAGAGGAGACACATGAATTGCCCAAAGGAAAAATAAATAGTAAAAGCTTGACTGGAAAACTCCTATTGCAGATGATGATTTTGCACATGTTGTTTGTATTTCTACTGCTCTGCCTTTTTATAAAGCCTCTGTTACACATGAGATCGTTTTTGTCTGGTGACAATGAGTTTCAATGTACCATAAATGTCCTGGGTTTGCTATAATGAATAAAAATTAACTAAACAACTGAGTCAGCCTCGTGGAAAGGTTTCCTCCCTCCTCCCACACAGTGTCACTTAATTTTAAACTGTGTATTTATGTTCACGTCCATGCCCACCCTTTCATTAGTCTAGGTTACTACATGTGCTTTATCTACAAGTGCCAAAGTTTGCACCACTTGCCTTGGTGTTTGTGTAGTTGTGGTGTGGTCTGCAAATCCCCAAACCCACAAGAAGGTGTGTCAGTGATTTGGGATTTTTATTTAATTCATAGCAGGTCTCTCCCACTCATTAACTGCTTTAAAAGTGTCTGAATAGAAAGAGGCCACGACTTACGATGCTCGGAGTGTTTATGATTTGTGAAACCCTGCCAGAAGTATTACACTGCCACCAGTGCCTCCTACAGCTTCATACACACACGTGGATGCGTGCTCATTATTAAAAACCACAAAGACTGACTGTTGTTATGGCTAAAGGGAGTTTCTGTATACTTTACAGTGTCTGTGTATCCGTTTTTGGTCTTAAATCCTATTTTCATTCATTTTTTTTAATGTACTTGCACTTCTGTTTGGATGTTTTGTTAAGATGAAAGAGGAAATTAGGCAAAAGGTACATCAGTGCAAATTAAAGTCATACTAACCAAATACGTTTTATTATTAGCTAAATTTATGGTGGTTCAAAAGCACTCCTAGGTGATAACAGCAGCATTTAAATTTGTAGGTGATCATTGAGCTTGAAATCCACCATCCATCGATGGATCAGTAGTAGGGCAAAACTAACTTGTTTCACGATCCTCTTAATATGATATTTGTATATAAAATCACAGTCAGTCAAGTAAAAATTAAAGCTAGCAAATAAATTTAGCAGAACATGAAGCACTTTGTTTTTCTCTGGTATTTACTAGTGTAGAATTAAAAGGCAGAAGAAGAAGAAGAATGTAAACATACCTTAAGTTTGTCCTTTACACAGTGCTTACTCACACTAAAGCACTGGGCAAAGTGCAGCAACAGAGTATTTTAATGAGGCCAACACACTGACATCACAGAAACATTTCACTAGTGAAACACTCACAGTCGCGGCATGAATGTCTTCAGATGCCTACTCCCGTTCCCAAGTGTTTGTGGGCATGAAAGCTTCTTTTTAAATCTACAGCTGCCTCGAGAACTAAATGCAGGATTAGACTGTTTTTGGGGGGCGTTTCCTTGGATACAACTAACAAGATGGAGAGGAGTGTAGAAGTTATATCTCCTATCAATTCTTTTACACCTGTTTCACAGCGGTACCTGGCATACGCACAGAGACACGCTGGTCTGTTCAGTGTGGAGGCACCTGTTTTCATTAAAAGTCTCCATCTGTGCGATGTGTGATGGGGGAGTTTGGTGAATGGAAGTTATATCGAGAGAAAAAGAGCAACAAAGAGGAAAGCAGGAGGTTAATGATGAGGAAAATAGACGAGGAACGACACAGAAATGTAGTGATGGTGCTTATGTGTCATGCAGATCGTTATTAGACATAATAACCGTTCCCCAACACACGAAGCAGTGTTTTTATCAGCCAGCTGGCCAGACACGCCACAATAACCAACCACCATCAGCCCTGCTTGCTACCCTGACATCCTCTCATTCTGCTGCTTCCCTTTCATCTCTGCTTTGTCATCGGCCATCACCCCTCCACCGCCCACCCACCCGCTCCTTATCTGTATGCCAATCCCATCATCTTCTCTCCCTCTGTCCCCATTTGTTTTCCTCTGATTGTGTGTCTTGCCCCTCTCCCGAGCCTCCAATCTTCCAGGGTTTTTTTCTGTTCTTTTTTCTAAGTCTTGCTGGCAGCCAAGAGGCAAATAGATGGCAGCAGTCCTTGGCCGAATCTCAGTTGGCAGCAAAAAGTGACTGACATCACATTGATTGTTAAATGTACTCAGTACACACACACACACGTGGGGTGGGGGGAAAAGAGGGTGATAGTGATTACAAGTGGCTACAGAAATGTGCTGTGTTCATCGGAGATTTTAATATCACATCACTTGGTCACTGTAACAGACAACACCATGTTGGCACTTTTCCAAAAGCAAAGAGGATGATACCAAAAAAAGCTTCAATAAACACTTAGAAGTCTCTCGTGTACACTGGAAACAATCTCATGAAGGAGCAAGTGAACGATAAGAGTGACAGTGCTGCAAGGTGAGAGGAGGTGTCTATTTGATGGGAGAGTCCAGAATCTCCTCATACTCCTCCCTCTGCCGACGCCCACCAACTCGAGAGGGGAGCAGCTTCATTGCTACCAGCCAACCGACACTCAGGATGACCATCACGCTCCCCACGACCTCTGGTGCAGTGGGAGCCAGTGGCAGTACAGCCAGATGCAGGAGCATGGCGATGGGTATCTCCAAGCTCTGAGAGGCGGAAACCAGAGCCGGGTGGAGTCGGGTGAGAGCGTGCGTCATTCCCAGGAAGGCTATGACCGAGCAGGCTGCGAGGCCCAAGACCAATAACCAGGCTTCAACACTCATTGGCCAGGACCAGCCCTCTTGTAGCAGGGCCAGAGAGGCTGGGGCAAGTAAGCAGCCTGTCCAGCTTACTGTGAACAAAGCAGTCCCAACTCCCACCCTCTCCTTCAGGGAACGATACCCAACCAACGCTAGTGCCATCCACAGCCCTGCAAGCGCTGAAAGAGACCATCCAAATGCACCCCTCCAGAACACAGCCGGATCAGTTGGCGAATCTGAATTGGTCTCATCTACTGCAGGAAGTAACACAAGCCCCAAGCCACACAGCCCTGCAGCTATGGTGATCCCATCAGCCAATCCCAGCCTCTCTTCTAAGAGCAGGAAGGCAAGGGTCGCTGATAGCGCTGTGGTCGCCAGGCGCCAGGTTGTTGTAGCATTTCCAGGAGAGACGAATGTTAAGGAAGAGTAGGCGCAACAAAGGGAGAGGGAGTAGGCGATGCCGTAACAGAGTAGACGTAGTCGATAGCCCTCTGGCCCAAAAGGGTTCTCCCCCCTGTGCAGTGGTACAGCCAGAGACAGGAGCTGTACGATGGACCGAACCAAGAGTAGAAACAGGGGGCCGAGGCTGAAGCGTTCGGAGGCCACTCGGGTCAGAACAATCAAGCTGCCATGTGCCAGCGCCGCACCGAGCAGGCCCACCCAGGTGAGTCGAGATGCAGACACAGAAGCCTCACCGAAACTGGCTAGCTGTTCCCCAACCCCTTTCCCAGACCCCTTTGCTGCTTTGGCACTACCCTCACTCCCTTCTCCTCCCCCCACGGTTTGAAGTTTGTGGGCTGTATCTTTGTCGTTGTGTCTTGAGCCAAAAAGAGTCAGGGGCCACTTCCTGCTCTCTGTCAGCTGTTTCTTGTCTGACGTCTCCTCCACGAATGAGCCAAAGTCCTCAAAAGACGGAGCATCGTCATAGCCATCATCCCCAGGTTGGGGAAAGTGTGTGTGTACTCCTGGCTGGGGGGCATAGGGTGTGTGGGTGGCATATTTGGCTGTAACAGTGTGAGGGTGGATCTTTACTCTCTTCTTAGAGCCACCCAAGAGGTGAGTGGACTCCATTTTGAAACTTTAGAGAAGACACCTGTAAGGAAAAACAAAACACTTTTAGCTCAGCACATAATATATAATTCACACGCGCACAAATCCTCTCTCCTCTTTCCCCTCTCACAACATCCCGCTGTGAGATTCTGCTTGATATCTCATATATCTTTAATATCCGAGATAATAATAGCAGTGACTCAAATCTTCCCGTGTGCCTGCGTGTTTGGCAGGGAATGTACGTAAGCTCTACCCATGTGACCAATCATGACTTTATTGTTTTCTGTGTGGTGATACTTTGAATTATATAGAACAATTATGTCCTTGCAGCACTTCTTCATCCTCATGGATAGCTCGACCTTCGTGGGGGCTCAGAGAGTGTTATGGCAATGACAGTTACATAAGCAAGTGCTTCCTGCCTCATTTGTCTTCAGTCTTTCTCTCTCTAATGACTTTTGCCTCATTCTGTCGCTTCCCATTGTCCTCCCTCACTCACTCTTGTTTGCCAATTTATGAAAAATATTACGCTGGCATTTAAATAATGTTTGTTAATTTCCTTGTTCATAACATCATTTAACCACCCGCTTCGCCACCTTTTTATTTCTCCCTCTCTCTTTAACTCTCTCTCCAGGCTACACATATTTTTTTTTAGGGCTTTTTGGCATTTATTGTGTTAGGACAGTGGAGAGAAGACAGGACTGAGAAAAGAAAACAGGGGGCAGACATGCAGTAAATGCCCTCGGGGTGGATTTGAACCCAGGCCTGCCTGAGCGTTATGGTAAGCTCCACAGCCTCTTAAGTGTTGTGATTACTGTGGAACAATATTGCTATGCAAGTGCAAAAGCATAGAGAGCATATGGCTCAGTTATTTCCCAAGAGATATGAGGCAATTGTCCCCAAGTAAGTTTACAGTAGTAAAATGACTCTTTATTTTGGTGTATTTTATGAATAAAGCATCAGACAAGTATTACTAAGTATTACTGTACCTGCTCATTCAGCCTCAACCAGCTCATCTAACAAAAATGACTTGTGAGCACTGTTGACACAGACTGTAAGAGAATCACATTTCACAAATGACATTTACCCTGCAAATTGCACATAAAATTGAAGTTGGCGCATGATTCACAGGTTTCTACAGCATCTGATTGCTTGGATGTGAAATATTATCAAAACTCTGATTTAAACAGTTGTTTGTTTTGTTATTTTTTATGGCAAAAAATAAGCAGTTTCTTTTAAAGAAATGAACAATATATGGACATATATATATATGATTATTTTTTCTTCATTATGTTAAATGTCATTTTATATCACTATATTACAATAATGATGTGTCAGAATGAAACAAAAAAGGCCATTTATTGATAAATTAACTTAAGATAATTGTGTTTGGTTTTTGGTTATTCTGGTAATTTCTCCCAAATCAAGCTGATTATAACCCTCTGACTCTGGCACCAAACAGTCCTGCAGCAGATGACATAATTCACCAGGAGATGTCAAGAGGAAAACTACCATCGGGTAAACCACATGACAAAAAAACATCTCTTCAGACCAACACAAACTACATTTCTGCATGACAAACGTCCTGAGCTCAGACTATAAAAAACAGCATTTCACTATTATTATAATTTCCTACTAGCAGACGGACTCAAAGCCAGTCGTTTTGGCAGCTCGCTGTTGTTTCTTTCATCATCAGTGGTGCAGTCATTTCAATTTGGTAGTAGCAGGGGGAATTTGTTAATTTGTGGTTATGTGCCCTTCGTGCACTCTCTCTTCATGTATACAGATTATTCCACAGCACCTAACATGAATTGGTGTGTTTTAAAAACAGCTGGGGGGTTAAGTAAGGGCTGTTTTTTTTAGCTGTTTGCATCTCTCTGGTTAATAGCAATTGCCCATAAATAATTGAATATAAAGTGCTTTGCATATACCTTTTTTTTAAAGATGATCTTTGGAGCTTGTATAACATAAGTAAACTATACTTTAGACAAGTCCCAGGAATATGGCGAGAATATAGACTGAAATGAATGATTTCATGATTTCCCTATGTACTTCACAGTTTGCTGAAT